TCGCCATCAGAAAGGGTTTGTGTCACTGACGTTGAGTAAATGCATTTTCGATCATGTTTGTCTCACCCACCAACAAGTTGCCTTCAATCATTCAAAGGTGGGAAAGTTACAGAGATATAATATTATGTTGTTATATAAAACATAGTGGAGGGCAGACAGTCTGCAGCCCCGCAATGAAGGGACCCGACTTGGACAAAGCTACTTAGGTGTTAGTCAAACCAAGACGCAGAGAGCTCTATTGAGAATAGCGTCCCACCAAACAACCATCGCAGAGACGCAATGCTGCAGAACGCAACAAGCATCAATACGACTATCGTCGGGCTTACACCATCCCAAGGTCCCCCATACATCCCAGCAGACATCACCACCCGCATACCTCCATCGACCAGAACCACAAGAGAGCGTCAAATCAGGCGCAGCACACCCGCAGATCCATCACAAGACGCAATACCGCAAGTAGCAGTAAGCATCAATGCAACTATCATACGGATGGCGCCCCCTCACAACACACCCACATGATCCCTATCGACTTTGGTAACAAAGTTGGCATTGTTGTTATATAAAAAATATCACCAACGTATCATAGTAGCACGCTACTAAGACGCCAATGAACAAAACTCCACGTATCATAGCGCTAATGCACTAAGACATGAAGTTGAGTATGCCTGTTACACTTAAAAGTGCTACCAAACACACTCATCATCCCAATCCGAAAGATAGACGACACATCGCTATGCGCAACGACGTCGCCCACAAACAGTATGGGTGTGCGATGTCCACGGGAAAGCCGTATTGCTACAACAAACCCGCTTATCACCGGCACTAAGATGTTAATTGTATACCTCCATCGACCAGAACCACAAGAATGCATCGAATCAGGCGCAGCACACTCGCAGATCCATCACAAGACGCAATACCGCAAGTAGCAGTAAGCATCAATGCAACTATCATACGGGTGGCGCCCCCTCACAACACACCCACATGACCCCTATCGACTTTGGTAACAAAGTTGGCATTGTTGTTATATAAAAAATATCACCAACGTATCATAGTAGCACGCTACTAAGACGCCAATGAACAAAACTCCACGTATCATAGCGCTAATGCACTAAGACATGAAGTTGAGTATGCCTGTTACACTTAAAAGTGCTACCAAACACACTCATCATCCCAATCCGAAAGATAGACGACACATCGCTATGCGCAACGACGTCGCCCACAAACAGTATGGGTGTGCGATGTCCACGGGAAAGCCGTATTGCTACAACAAACCCGCTTACCACCGGCACTAAGATGTTAATTGTATACCTCCATCGACCAGAACCACAAGAATGCGTCGAATCAGGCGCAGCACACCCGCAGATCCATCACAAGACGCAATACCGCAAGTAGCAGTAAGCATCAATGCAACTATCATACGGGTGGCGCCCCCTCACAACACACCCACATGATTCCTATCGACTTTGGTAACAAAGTTTGTATTGTTGTTATATAAAAAATATCACCAACGTATCATAGTAGCACGCTACTAAGACGCCAATGAACAGAACTCCATGTATCATAGCGCTAATGCACTAAGACATGTAGTTGAGTATGCCTGTTACACTTAAAAGTACTACCAAACACACTCATCATCCCAATCCGAAAGATAGACGACACATCGCTATGCGCAACGACGTCGCCCACAAACGGTATGGGTGTGCGATGTCCACGGGAAAGCCGTATTGCTACAACAAACCCGCTTACCACCAGCACTAAGATGTTAATTGTATACCTCCATCGACCAGAACCACAAGAATGCGTCGAATCAGGCGCAGCACACCCGCAGATCCATCACAAGACGCAATACCGCAAGTAGCAGTAAGCATCAACGCAACTATCATACGGGTGGCGCCCCCTCACAACACACCCACATGACTCCTATCGATTTCGGTAACAAAGTTTTTATTGTTGTTATATAAAAATATCACCAATGTATCATAGTAGCATACTACTAAGACGCCAGTGGACAAAACTCCATGTATCATAGCGCTAATGCACTAAGACATGAAGTTGAGTATGCCTGTTACACTTAAAAGTGCTACCAAACACACTCATCTTCCCAATCCGAAAGATAGACGACGCATCGCTATGCGCTACGACGCCGCCCACAACCGGTATGGGTGTGCGATGTCCACGGGAAAGCCGTATTGCTACAACAAACCCGCTTACCACCGGCACTAAGATGATATGTCTAGGACACATCGGTTAGCGAGTCCAAGTTTACCTCGGACCAATTGCTCGTGAAGCAGCACACACGCCACCATAATATTCCTTTTCAAGTCCCTAATAAGGACTAGTCATTTTGCTACAGTACTAGGAGCAGTCGGTCACCCGACCACCCCATACAATGCTTATGCATCAAGGAGACCTTCAATAATAATGCTTTTGTATCATAGACCTTATTTTCATAAGTCATTCATATATAGGGTTCGAACCCACAACCCTACTATTGTAATGCATATTAATCATAGAGACCTTCTATAGTATTGCTTTTGTATCATAGACCTTACTTTCATAAGTCATTAATATATAGGGTTCGAACCCACGACCCTACTATTGTAATACAAATTCATCATGGAGACCTTCTATAGTATTGCTTTTGTATCATTGAGTTTAATATCATAAGTCCCTAATATAGGACTAGTCATTGTGCTACAGTACTTCAGGCAGTCGGGCTCCCGACCACCCCATATATATGTACAACTGCAGGTATGTACCTCCGACAGCTTCCTCCATACAAGACATCTATACGTGAACACCTTCCATAACTTAGGAAAATTTTCTTTAATACATGAACTCCTTCAACAACTTAGGAAATTTCATCTATACGTGAACTCCTTCCACAACTTGAAAAATTTTCTTTTATACACGAACACCTCCCATGACTTAAACAATTTTTAACAAATTTTCTAATTATCTTATAAACGTTATTTAACTTAATTTTATAATATTTTTTGACTTGTATTTCTATTATTTATCTTATTTTAAATATTTTTTTCAAGTTTTTAAATAATTTTATTTATTACGAAGAACAATAATTTTGCCTTTAATTTACTATGTTATTGGGATAATGTCTGAAATATATTAACTTTATGTTTATTAATTTAACTTAATTGCTTAATATATATCTTTTATGACTATTTTTGACGCCCCTTTATATTGAATTTAATTATTAATAATAATATTGGGCCGTCACAATATGTAGAAGAAACAGCGTTGGTTGGATAGCACGCACCCTGTGGAACACCAGCGTTAATGGGCTTGTAATTAGAGCATGCACCGTCTACTACGACCTCGATGCTCCGATCTACAAGAAAGCTGGTGATCCAATTATACAATTTCGCGGGTAGCCAATAGGAAGGAAGATTCGTAAGAAGCGCTTTGTGCCAAAGCCGATCGAAGGCCTTCGCTGTGTCCTTACTAACGGTCAAAGCCCCTTGGACTCTACTGCCTCCGCCCATTTATGAGTTAGGTAACAGAAATACTGTAATTGAACAATTAAAAGTTAAGTAAGTAATTAAAACACGCGATTCCGAGTATCCAACCTAGGTTGGATTTCTTAGGGTGGATAAACGGAATAACCCAAAAAAACAAAGTATCCGGACCTGGCTCACGCGGTGACTGACGTGGTGGTCTGCCGACCGAAATTAGTCCTGTAGTTGTCTCTGCAAATGGGCTAATCCCCGGTCAGCCTCTCGGATCATTTGAGGCGACTGAAACTCGGTGACAGACCAAATGCAGAAGGCGGTGCTCCTCGATACCGCCCGCATCGTTTTCCACGCCACAGGTTTCTTTTCCTTTTCCCCTAACCCTCGGCCGTTTGGTCTCCCCTGCCGAGGGCTGCCATCTGGTTGGGATTTTATTTATTTATGTTAGTATATTTAATATATACTTAAGTATATATATTCAGCCCAACCAGATGAGAATACTTTATAAATAACCATAAATAATAATAAAAATAATTTTTTTAACTCTCAATTGGACAGATTACACTTATATTATATCTATTTTAAATTACAAAATTACATTTCAAAGTATTTAGCGTTAACGTCCATACTAGGATAGACTGTGTTACAGCCGTCAGCGTCTTCCACCCTGAGTAGTACAAAACAAATAAAAAAAGATCATTTCGCTTTTCGATACTTAAAAATGTTAACATAAATATGGAAAAATGAAGAGATAACTTTCTAATTACCACAAAACTGTGCGCGCGCGCGCGCGTGTGTGTGTGTTTGTGTGTGTGTGTGTGTGTGTGTGTGTGTGTGTGTGTGTGTGTGTGTGTGTGTGTGTGTGTGTGTGTGTGTGTGTGTGTGTGTGTGTGTGTTTGTGTGTGTATGCTGTGTGTTAGATCTTAAATATTGATTAACTTATCTGTTTTCAGGTAATTAAGGTTAAGCAACCAATTTAATAATATGATATAAATCATATTTTTCCAAGGTTTCATTCAGCCTACATAATACTTATATGTTTCGCGAGCAGCCCAAGTTTTTTCATCCCTAGCGGTACCACAAATCAATAATTGCAGTCTCAAAAGTTCACTGAACATGTCAGTCAAGTTTAGCCGTGCACGGAATACTGTCTTTACATAATAAGACCCATACATTACGCAGAAGATGCGGCAGATCTTCATACCGCATTCAAAACGGCTAAATTGCGTGCATATCAAGGTTCAACTTACGTAATAACTATTAGTTAATCTGTGGTTCAACGCAGGAATACTACCGGAGCTGTTCGCGTGGTCACCTCAAGATCATAAGAAGGTGATTTTCTAATGGATTTAAAGAGGGGAAACTTCACCTATAAAAGCTGTATCATCTTAAGAAGTTGTAGCGTTATATTAGACTATTTCCACTCCCGTAAAAGTTTTAAATAAATTTTGGAAGGCAAAAAGGGCCTGAACATGTCGAATACATAAAGGCAAGGAGTTCCACAAGCTTAAACTTATTATTTTATTTTAGGCATACCTTCCACTCTTAACTATGTACAGCTTAATGGAGACAAATGTCCAGCCTTGAAGCCGTACCCGAGCACGGAAAGTAGGAAGGAGTTCGTGTCAGTATACCGGCCAAGGGTGGACGTCTGTGGAAGACTATGGATGGTCGACACTGGTCATCTGGAAGTACCCGGTACGTTTAAAAGTTCATCTAATCTTCTTAGTTATTTCTCTTCTTCTTTATTATCCCCACGATTCACCATAAACCCTGCGTTTTGATTGACGAGCGCACTACCAGACGTGAACACCTTGAAACTGGTCGTTGCTAGTTTGGGTATGTTACGCTTAGTGTAAGCAAGATGGTAATAGCGCCATCTATCGAAAATTCGAAAACCATAAAATCTTTTTGAGATATTCCAAAGGAAGATATGATGAGGTTTTTCTTTTATTTCCATAGTCGTTTAGACACCTACGAAATGAAAAGAGAAACAAATTGATAGCATAAACGTGCGGTTGGCGGACCGTCTACCAAGCGTGGCAGCTATGGCAAGTACCCCCCCCCCCCATATGAGGCAATTTATGGTGGAGTAATGTTGATCTGTGGACCTTGATGGGCTGTAATGAATAAATGACTAAAACTAATTTTCTTTGCGTTTAATTTTACTTATTTTAATTCCCAATTCTAAATAAAAATGCGATCAGTCAATGCCTGCCGGCCAAGGTTTAATGTTAAGGCAAAACCACAGAAATCGTAATAATAAGACAATAGAAGTCGCATAGACGCGTGACCTTGTCGCCGCTATGATGTGTTGACGAACATCAATCACTATTTTGTGATTTAATGGCGCGGGGAACGTCGTACGTGAATTTTTGTTATTATAAATTTATAATGGTGAACTGCAGCATAATCAGTTGTAAAAACTCATCAAGGACGTGTAATTAAACTAATAAAGACATAACATTTCATAAGTAAGTTGATTATTTACTAATTATCATTGTATTAACTTATTTACATCTAGGTGAATACTATGATATTTACCTTTGTAAACTTCATTTATTACTTTTCGTATTGTACAATTACCACTGCTGCTTTTGTTCTACCGTAATACGTGACACACGCGACGTTGAGAAACTCGACAAGCAATGTAATGTGAAACATTATATATCATTGTGCATTGCGTATATTATAATACGGTAAGATGTGGCGACATCGGTTTTGGAAGTAATCGAGCGCTTATTCATTTCTAATGTCTTATTATTACGATTTCTGTGGTCAAAACCCCCACCCTACAACGAGAGAAGTGCAAGTCCAGTAATGGGCTCTTACGGACTGGTGAAGAAGAAGAAGAAGACAGAGAATGGCACTGCTATTATTCTTAAAAAAAGCTTCTAAACCATATACTATCCGATCTGTGAGAGTTCTTTTATGTATCGTAATATGATTCTATTCATGTAATCCTTTTCAAAGAGTAAATAAAAAAATTACCCCGTAAAAATTAAACCAAATGGGAAAACTTATAGGGCAACACATGGTAGCACTAACACTAATTATAACTAACAGGTAGCAGTGCTACCTTACCTGTTACCTGTTAGTTATCATGCTGCCGTAGCACTAATGACAGACCGCCACACAAAACAAAAAATGTCGTAAATGCCAAGGTGCAGCTTGATGCGACGAATTTGCTAAATTTTAGGTAAAAATTCTATATAGGAATATAAGTATATTAAATAACAAATAACATGATGTTTTAATTTATTTTGGTAATGTTATTGAGGTTTGCCGTGTAGTGGCGGTTGAGAATATCCACTACCCCATATCCACCCGTGGGTGTCGTAAAAGGCGACAGAGGGAGACAGGCAGGAGATGGGCAGCAGCATCTTCCTGATAACAACTGTGACGTAATAAAAAAAACTGCGGTTGCCAACCCGCTCGCCAAGCGTGGCAACTATGGCAAATACCCCCCAATGAATAAATACACAAACAGACGGCCCCCAGTCCCCGGCGGCCCCGCTATTCCTGGCTACGGTGGCGACCATGGTAACGGCGGGGCAGGGGGTGCTAAGAATCTCCGGTGGAGGTTCGGTTGCCACCTACGACGACTCGACCTGGCAACATATAACGCACGCACCCTGAGGACTGACGAGAAGATACTAGAGCTGGAAGAAGAGGTAGACAAGTTGCGCTGGCATATTATTGGATTATCCGAGGTCCGAAGAGAGGGGGAGGACACGGCAATCCTCGAGTCCGGCAACTTGTTCTATCACCGGGAGGGCGACCATCTGTCCCAAGGAGGTGTTGGATTTATCGTCCACAAGTCTCTCGTCAACAACGTTGTAAAGATTGGGAGTGTGTCGACGAGGGTCGCGTACCTGATACTCAGAATCACCAAACGGTATTCGCTGAAGGTCATTCAGGTTTACGCACCAACCTCGGCACATCCCGATGAGGAGGTGGAGGAAATGTATGAGGATATTTCCAGAGCCATACATTCCTCCAAAACCCACTACACGGTGTTGATGGGAGACTTCAACGCAAAACTAGTCACAAGAGAAAGCGGTGAGCTGAAGGTAGGGCGGCAGCTGGCCGACTTTATGGAGAAAGAGGGACTCTTTATGATGAACTCTTTATTTCAGAAGCGGCCCCACAGGAAGTGGACCTGGTCGAGCCCCGACGGTTCGACAAAAAATGAGATTGACTTCATTATGACGACCAGACGCCAACTGTTCAGTGATGTCTCAGTGATCGCAAGGGTGAAAACTGGCAGCGATCACCGAATGGTTAGAGGCACACTGAACCTAAACGTTAAGTTGGAGAGGTCTCATCTAATGAAGTCAACGCTCCGTCCCCCTCGTGCTCTAATCCAGAATCCCGAAACCTTTCAGCTCGAGTTACGTAACCGCTTCCAGTGCCTAGAAGATTGCAATGCAGTGGACGATATGAACGACAAGCTCGTGGAAACTGTCCATGCGATCGGAGCTAAGTTCTGCAAGACCCGCCGCAGAAGAACACAAAAACTCTCCGATCACACTCTTAATCTCATGGCTGTTAGACGGGAGATGAGGCTGCAATCGTCAACAGATTTGACAGCATACAGGCAGCTGAACAGACAGATCTCCAAATGCATGCGGCGAGACTTACGCAACTTTAATACTTCTCGTATTAAAGAAGCGATCGAGCGGAACCAGGGCTCCAAAGTCTTTGCCAGAGATCTGTCTGCCAGAAAGAGCCAACTGTCAAAGCTGAAGACTGAGTGTGGCAACATCGTTTCCGGGACACCTGAGATTTTGAGTGAGATTGAGAGGTTCTATGGGCAGCTGTACACATCATCGTTGGAGCCACACGTAAGTGTGAGTAACGATCCAAGAGCAAGTCTTATCCGACACTATTCCGATGATATCCCGGACGTCAGTCTGAGCGAGATTAGAATGGCTCTCCACCACCTTAAAAACGGCAAGGCCCCGGGCGAGGATGGAATTACAGCGGAGCTTCTGAAAGCGGGTGGAAAACCGGTACTTGAAGTCCTTCGGAAGCTCTTCAATTCCGTCCTCCATGGTGGCACTACTCCGGAGGCGTGGAGCAGAAGCGCGGTGGTTTTGTTCTTTAAGAAAGGCGACAACGCTCTCTTGAAGAACTACAGACCGATTTCCCTTCTGAGCCGCGTATACATGCTATTTTCGAGAGTCATTACGAATCGTCTCGCACGCAGAAGCGACGACTTCCAGCCTCCCGAACAAGCCGGTTTCCGAAAAGGCTTCAGTACCATAGACCACATACATACCCTGCGGCAGATTGTACAGAAGACCGAAGAGTACAATCTGCCACTTTGCCTGGCATATGTGGACTATGAGAAAGCCTTTGATTCCGTCGAAATTTGGGCGGTGCTACAGTCCCTTCAGCGGTGCCAAGTTGACTGTCGGTACATCGAAGTGCTGAAGTGTTTGTACAGTAGGGCTACGATGGCTATCCGAGTACAGAACCAGAGTTCGAAACCTATCCAACTGCAGAGAGGTGTAAGACAGGGTGATGTTATATCCCCGAAACTCTTCACCGCTGCGTTGGAAGACGCTTTCAAGCTACTGGACTGGAAAGGATACGGTATTAACATCAATGGCGAGTACATCACTCACCTTCGATTTGCCGACGATATAGTCATTATGGCAGAATCGCTGGAGGACTTAAGCATTATGCTCAATGACCTCAATAGTGCCTCCCAACGGATAGGTCTTAAGATGAACATGGACAAAACAAAGATCATGTTTAATGTCCATGTCACACATATGCCGGTAGTTGTTGGGAGCACTATGCTCGAAGTTGTTGACGAGTACGTTTACCTGGGACAAATAGTCCGACTAGGTAAGTCCAACTTCGACCGAGAGGTCAATCGACGGATTCAACTCGGCTGGGCAGCGTTCGGGAAATTACGACATATCTTTTCGTCAGGTATACCTCAATCTCCAAAAACTAGATTGTACAACCAGTGCGTGTTGCCAGTGATGACTTATGGATCTGAGACGTGGTCCTTCACTGCTGGCCGTATGAGGACGCTTAAGGTCGCTCAGCGAGCTATGGAGAGGGCTATGCTTGGAGTTTCTCTGCGTGATAGACTCAGAAATGAGGATATCCGCAGTAAAACCAGAGTTACCGACATAGCCCAACGGATTAGTAAGCTGAAGTGGCAATGGGCCGGCCATATAGCTCGAAGAACCGATAACCGATGGGGAAGAAAGGTTCTCGAGTGGCAGCCTCGTACCAGTAGGCGTAGTGTAGGGCGACCCCCCACTAGATGGAGTGACGACCTGGTAAGACATGCAGGAAGTCGATGGATGCAGGTGGCTCAGAACCGTGCTTTGTGGCATTACTTGGGGGAGGCCTATGTTCAGCAGTGGACTTGTGAAGGGCTGTAATGATGATGATGATTGAGGTTGCGGTACCTATGTGCCCTTTCGAACCGGACAGGGCCCTTCACACATAGGTGCAAACACTGCCATTTAGGGACAGAAGTGGGTAAGAGTGTGCTACCTATCCAGAGGGATACCTATATAGCAAAGGGTTCCTAAGAAACAAAACTGTATTCTGTTTATTCGCTTTTTATTGTAACTTGTATCTTTTTAACTTGTTTAATAATTTTATGTTTACATCTGCCATAGTTTCTCAAATTATCCAGGGTTAACAGGAAGAGAATGCCATAAGGCGTTAAGAGTCCGCTCTTTATTTCGAACCGGACAGGGCCCTTCACACATAGGTGCAAACACTGCCATTTAGGGACAGAAGTAGGTAAGAGTGTGCTACCTAGCCAGAGGGATACCTATACAGCAAAGGGTTCCTAAGAAACAAAACTGTATTCTGTTTATTCGCTTTTTATTGTAACTTGTATCTTTTTAACTTGTTTAATAATTTTATGTTTACATCTGCCATAGTTTCTCAAATTATCCAGGGTTAACAGGAAGAGAATGCCATAAGGCGTTAAGAGTCCGCCCTTTATATCTCTTATTAAAAGGTTTATAATAAAGATAAATAAATAGTTATTGTATAAAATGAATTAAAATAAAGAGCAACTCCAATTCTGTTTCATTTTGCAGGGGAGAGAAAACAAATCCAACCGCCAGCTATCGTCGTATTCGATCTGAAGACAAATAAACAAGTACTACGATACGAGCTGAAGCCTTCGGACTTGGTTAACAACAGATCATCTGCTGGTAAGCTCCTAATCTCCCTTACTCATTCAACTAGTAAGCCCGGCTGACGTTGTCATTTTTTCCGGTAGATGGCGCGATTAGTTTCTCGTCGAATTTACGACGGACTTTTTGCAGTGCATATAAAAATGAATTAATTACTCGACTATACCGCCACCTACCGGGTCCAGTTCAAGAAATATATTTTTATACAATTAAGGTGGAAGCGCCGGCCGTCCGTCCATACATTTTTTAATCAAAATATACACTAAACACAGACACTCTTTCTTTAAAAATAATCATTTTATCACTTCTCTACAATGACATGTGTACGCGCTTGACCTTTATAGGTATGAACTTACATTATATACTGAGAAAAACAATAGTGAAATCCCGGAAAAATTTGACACTTCTTTAGTAGTGTGCGTGACTTTTGACAAGCAAACGAAAGGTGACGTTTAAACATTGGCACGCTAGATGGCACGCAAGTGATCTTAAATATTTCTGATAATCAATATATTAAGTTCAATAACTGGTTAATTTCCTTTCCAACCGTTAAAAAAAAAACAGTATAAAATAACATAAAACTAATGACCTTAGACACCTATGTTTTTTTCGTAAACAACTTTATTACTTATTATTGTTGTGTGGCAACATAAATACCAAAAGTCGTAGGTAGAGCGATGATGCCGTTCTTACTAACCTTGTTGCTTCAAATAGGTACTTCAGTTTTGATAAAAAATTTAACAGTGTAATGTAATATAATAAAACTGCATTATATTGTAATCAATGTTGAAATAATTTGTTTCCCAAAGTTATAAATCAATTAAATAGTTTACGCCAACAAATATAACTTTTATTTCTATAACAATCGTATATAGCGTTTTGTAGTTCTGCCTACCCAATCTACATCATCATCATCATCATTACAGCCCTTCACAAGTCCACTGCTGAACATAGGCTTCCCCCAAGTAATACCACAAAGCACGGTCCTGAGCCACCTGCATCCATCGACTTCCTGCATGTCTTACCAGGTCGTCACTCCATCTAGTGGGGGGTCGCCCTACACTACGCCTACCGGTACGAGGCTGCCACTCGAGAACCTTTCTTCCCCATCGGTTATCGGTTCTTCGAGCTATATGGCCGGCCCATTGCCACTTCATCTTACTAATCCGTTGGGCTATGTCGGTCACTCTGGTTTTACTGCGGATATCCTCATTTCTGAGTCTATCACGCAGTGAAACTCCGAGCATAGCCCTCTCCATAGCTCGCTGAGCGACCTTGAGCGTCCTCATACGGCCAGCGGTGAAGGACCACGTCTCAGATCCGTAAGTCATCACTGGCAACACGCACTGGTTATACACTTTAGTTTTCAGAGATTGAGATGGTATACCTGACGAGAAGATGTGTCGTAATTTCCCGAACGCTGCCTAGCCGAGTTGAATCCGTCGATTGACCTCTCGGTCGAAGTTGGACTTACCTAGTCGGACTATTTGTCCCAGGTAAACGTACTCGTCAACAACTTCGAGCATAGTGCTCCCAACAACTACCGGCATAGGTGTGACATGGACATTAAACATGATCTTTGTTTTGTCCATGTTCATCTTAAGACCTATCCGTTGGGAGACACCATTGAGGTCATTGAGCATAGTGTTAAGGTCCTCCAGCGATTCTGCCATAAGGACTATATCGTCGGCAAATCGAAGGTGAGTGATGTACTCGCCATTGATGTTAATACCGTATCCTTTCCAGTCCAGTAGCTTGAAAACGTCTTCCAACGCAGCGGTGAAGAGTTTCGGGGATATAACATCACCCTGTCTTACACCTCTCTGCAGTTGGATAGGTTTCGTACTCTGGTTCTGTACTCGGATAGCCATCGTAGCCCTACTGTACAAACATTTCAGCACTTCAATATACCGACAGTCAACTAGGCACCGCTGAAGAGACTGTAGCACCGCCCAAATTTCGACGGAATCAAAGGCTTTCTCATAGTCCACATACGCCAAGCAAAGTGGCAGATTGTACTCTTCGGACTTCTGTACAATTTGCCGAAGGGTATGTATGTGGTCTATGGTACTGAAGCCTTTTCGGAAACCGGCTTGTTCGGGAGGCTGGAAGTCGTCGAGTCTGCGTGCGAGACGGTTCGTAATGACTCTCGAAAACAGCACGTAGACGCGGCTCAGGAGGGAAATCGGTCTGCCTGAACCTGAACCCAATCTACATATCGTCCGTGAACTTCTGATACCTCCTAACTCGCATTTTTTCGCAAAACCTTTTTTAACGCCATCGTTTGACAGAGATCAGAACCAATAGAATGCATTAACCTCCTAAATAAAATACTTGTTTTTTTGGTCACAATCCGTTCGGAGAAATACCTTCTAAATTTTACCGCCCTATTTTTGCTGGAAATTTCTCCTAACAGTTTGCTAGAAGCGCGTACACGGCTATTTAGTATTCTGGCGTTTGGCATTTAAAAGTATTTTTTTGGTATTTTTATCACTTCGTTGGTATTTACATTAGTGTTATAGCTAACTGAAGGTGTTTCACTGATTTTGTTTCATAAAGTAGGTACGTATATTATTATTAGCTATGATTTATTTCAGGTTAAAGTTTTTTTTGTCAGATAGGAGTAATTTCTTTGAACACTTTTTACTTCAATTTGGTAAGTTATGGTTTCAATTAATGCAGTTAGAAGAAATTTCTTAAAAGTTTAGTACTTACTTTTACCTTCTTAAATATCTACGATCTTTTAACCTGTCTGAGGAGTACGATCATAAATTATTTGGTATTTTGTGTAGTTAAAAGATAACTTATTTATTTCAGATTTTGTCATAATGGCATCAAGAAACAGAGCACATGCACTCGTTAATATAATTTGCAATCCAACTGAACCAGAGAATATGGCATCCACGTCTCATACACCTGTTTCTGTTTTGGTAAAGAATGTCCTAACAGAACCACATTTTTTTGAAAGGATTGAATCTCAGTTAGGGGAAATTTTACTAACTGCAGACAATGACCTCATTCAATTAGAAGACCTAGTGGCGCTTGACTCACCGTCGCTATTAGAATCACCGTCTCCGAGGCCAACTTCACCACCACCTGTGAGAGATGCTTGTGAGGACTTTTCGCCTGATGACGACAGCGATTACGAACCACCCAATGATCGTGGTGCTTTAAGTTCGGATTCAGAAAATATCCCTCCAAATGAAGAGACTCTGCAAACGAACGAAGAGGTAGTTCACTTTGGAGATATGTTTGAAGGCCGACGTAGACAGAGACTAGCTCAACCCGAAAGTTGGAAGAAAAGTATTACTAAACGGTTAAGGATGGAGGGGAAAGAGTATGTCGGTTACAAAAGACCAAAGGGTGAGAAAGTACAAAGCCAAATTCGAAACCAAAGGGTCCTTGGCCCTAAATGCAATTCAGATTTTTGTAGAAATAGTAAGTTGAGATGTTGTGATGAAGTAGGGGATGAGGACAAAGAGAAGATATTTCGACAATTCTGGAGCAATATGGACTGGCATCAACGAAAAGTGTATGTTGCTAACAACATAACTTTTCAGGAAAAAAGGTAGGCAGACATCAATAAATTCGAGAAGAGCTGGTACTTTCGTTTATTTTCTTCCAGTGACTAATTCTGTAGATGGAACCACAACTAAGAAGCGTGTGTGCCGTGAAATGTTTATTCAAACTTTGTGTATTGGAACATTTTCAGTTCAAAATTGGGCAAAAAAAAGGAATAAGTGGCATGCATCTATCTGAAAAAAATAATAATCGTAACCGTCGTCCTAAAGCGCAATTGTCTCAAAGACTTGACATTCTCGATAACTTTTTCAATGTATTACCTAAAATGTCGTCGCATTACAACCGTCATAACACTACCAAAGTCTACTTGGAACCAATACACACTTATACAATACTTATAAACAATACTGCTCAGAAAAAAATGCAGATCCTTACGCTAGAAATAAATTCAATCAAACTATCAAATCGAAGAATATAGCCATCCACACAATAAAGAAGGACATGTGTGATGTTTGTGTAGGTCATCAGAGCGTTAATGTAAGCGAAATTGACTACCAAACACATCTAAGAAGAAAAAATCGAGCCCCTGAAGACAAATCTATAGATAAAAGTGAGGTGATCAAGGGAAACTGCATAGTTTTAACAATGGATTTACAATCGGTTAAAATGTGTCCGTTTATCACAGCTAGTGCTATTTACTATAAAACAAAATTATGTGTACATAATTTTACCATCTATGATTTAGCATCTCATGAGTGTACATGTTACTGGTTTACAGAAACGGAAGGTGATCTATCAGCGTCTACCTATGCGTCATTTATTATTGATTATTTGACCCGCCATAGCCTTCCCAAACATCTACCCATAATAATATACTCAGATGGCTGCACAAGCCAGAACCGAAACAATATATTATCGAATGCTTTATTAAATTTCTCCATGCAACATCAAGTGGCTATAATACAAAAATATCTTGAAGTCGGACACACGCAGATGGAAGGAGATTGTGTACATAGCACTATAGAAAGGAAATTGAAAAATAGGCTAATCCACTTACCAAGTTATTACCTGTCGGTTACCAAAGAAGCTCGCAAAAATCCTTGTGAGTACGAAACTGTAATGGTAGACTATACATTTTTCAAAAACTATTCGGCTCCTGAAACATGGCGCTACACTTCGATCCGACCGGGACGCAAAGCTGGAGATCCAAAAGTTACTGATATAAGGGCTATTTTTTATGACAACACAGGCCTGATTAAGTTTAAATTGGACTTTGACTCCGATTGGGATAGCCTCCCTCAAAGGGTTAATAAAATTGCCATCATAAGAGAGTACGTATCCCTGCATAGGAATAGAATACCTATCACATACCAAAAATATAAACATTTACAGGAGCTAAAGTCTGTTATCCCATTGGACTGTCATTCCTTTTACGACAGTTTACCTCATAATGAACATTAACATTCCTAATGTTACCTTAGTATTAGAAATATGAT